TTGATGAGGTTGATCATGAAATCAACGATGAAAACAATTCTAAACTCTAGAAATTGATTCTAGAGCTTGATGTACCAAGTAAGGTTAACAATTAAATGTTTGATCAAATATTGCAGACAATCCTGGAGATGATAAGGTTAATGAAGAAGAAGAAGAAAGTTGTAAGAAAAAGATTCATCCCTTTCTCGAGTTTCTCCTCCCTTTTACTTTCTCATCATCAACATGATCATCATTTCCATCTGTTGAATTTGAGTTTACTTTTGAATCAGTTTCACTTTTATTCTTGAACTTATTGAGACAACAATATTTATCATTTTATTGCTACAGTTGCCGACTATCCATAGAAATGGGTGAAAATACGAAAGAATCGAATTCACTGATTAATGGTAAATGTGAAAGTAAATCTGGTCAACTGACCTTAGAGGAAGTTTTGACCAAATATGTTGGTTCTTTTGGTTCCTTTCAAAAACTGTTAACTCTTTACATTGCCCTGTTCATTGGACCCATAACTTCAATGAATATGATCTCACAATTTTTGATCCTGTTAATTCCTCCTCACCAATGTGATCTATCAACATTCAATCAAACAACACCACTGTTAATCAACTCAATAGACAGTCCATCACCAATTGAACCAATCCAATTAGTCCATCAATATGAAGGTTCCTGTTCAATTAAACGTTACATCGACTCAGCACCAAACTTGACCGATTCATTGCCCTGTCCAAAAGGCTGGGAATACGATCACAACCTGATTTACCCAACACTCGTTTCAGAGGTAAGCTGTCCATCAACCTTTAACTCCTCGGTTAACCAGTAAATTCATCAAAAGTTTAAGATTCAATTTTGATAATCAGTTTAATGTTAAGACAATTCATTGTGTACTTGAACGGCCTTGGTTGAAATAATTACACCGAGAAAAGCATGAGGACATGAAAAAAGAAGTCAGACGAGCTTTACATTGAGAAATTGCTCTCATTCAGATTCTAAGATTTCCTTTATTCTCGTTGATTAATCGTGTAAATCATGCAACCAGTGAGTGGTACAGTCCAAGTATCAATACTCTGAATAAATCATCAAAACTTCATTACGTTCTTTTATTATTATTATGATAACAAATGTCATAATATCTAATGACAGTCAGTTTATAATAAAAAAGTAATACTGTTTTATATGTATAAAAGCGTTTAGTTAAATCAAAATTGGATGATCGGGTGCAAGTTTAGAGCGATATTGAAATTGTTGACTTGAAAAGGACTTTTACAGGTTTATCAATTGTTATGATATAATTTAACATCAAATAGTTAACTGATCTAGTTCACATAATTGTCCTATTTACTGTTGGCTCTTGAAGATTGAGCACAACTTTTTGAGATCAGTTAATTATGAGATAATTCACAATGGATATCACTCTGAACTTCAAACAGTTGACTTCAAGACTTGAATCAACACAAAGTTTATCTGTTTTATTGATCACAAGTTACTTTATTAAAATAGGTCAATTACATATTCCTCGTCTATTACAATCAAATCTCATCATTCAACAGTTTATTTATATTAGCTTGTGTCCATATTAGGATGGATTAAGGGATTTCAATGTTTGGTCAAAATTCAAGGTTTCATTGATTCCTTTGTTAATTTAACAGTTTACCAATTCATGTTGAGTTAATTAGAAAGATGATTATCATTGAAAAAGGATTAAAATATTAATTCCGTCCTTCAAATTGTTGCTATATTTTTGGCTTCAATTTGATTCTTTGAAACTATTTTTAGCAGAAGCAGGTTAAGTTTGTTCAAAGGTCTGCAAGGTTTTGTTATTGATTGCAATTTGTTTCACTTTCAACAATTAATTAACAGTTAAATCTTCATTTACTCATCAAACGTTTAATATTAAACTAATTTTGATTGATTGTTCACGCAATTAATGACTTTCCGTTCAATTTAAATTTAAATTAGACTTCAGTTTTGACACGAACCTTGTCATTTTATGAAGCGCCAGAAATATATTTTCATCGAAGCAACAACATTCTTGCTCTTATTGAAAATTGTCAGCAATTTAGATTAATTGTCATTCATTACTTGTCATTTTTCATCATTTATTAATGGTTTATCCCTTAATTATGGTTAATTTAATTACAGCAAAATTGGGTTTGCAATGAAAGATGGAAAGCGCTTTTACCTCACTCAATCTATTGGGCTGGAGCGACACTCGGATGCTTTGTTTTTGGTACCTTTTCTGATATGTAAGTATTGTAGCATTGTAATATTAACAAGTATTAATAATAGTACTAGTACAAATACTAATACTAGTTTCAGTAGCAATAATAGTTTATTGTTACTGAAAAGACACAACTAACACGATTGTAACATTCATTCAAAAACACTGCAAAACAAATGGATAAAAACGGATAAAAATGAATTTCTGTTTGATTTAGACTTTGTCAGTTTATGGAAGTATGAAGACTGGATCCTTTGGTGCAATTTAAAGCTTTCTCTGATTGATAGTTTTCTAGAAAATCGCGTTCAAAGTTAAAACTTCGATCGCTTTTTGTACCATTACAGAAGCAGATTTTTTCGTGAAACTTGTTTTGGTATGTTTAAACTTGATGATCAACTAGAAAATGAACTTATTTTAAGAAATGGAATTTTCCGTTTCCGTACAACTTCGATTTTTCGATTTCCATTTGAACTGACCTTTTTCAGCGACCGAAAGAGTTAGAGAGCTGAAACTTTTAAACTGTCCATAAAAATTGATGGATCAGATCATGGATTGAATAGTTTTTCCAATCAATCCACAGTTCTCCTGATTTTTGGCCATTGGCCTTAAAACTTTGAACCGAAATATTTCGAGAATCACAGCATCTACAATCAGCTTTCTTTGCTCAAACATTAGATTTTATTGTAGTCTATAATATAATGGAATATTATATTAT